CGCCTCGTCAGTGCAGCTTGGTACACGTCTAGATACGTGAGACACTCGTATTTATACCCCATGAACTTGCTCTCACCAAGGCATGTGGTACAACACAGTGACTCAACGCATCCAGACATGCGCAGAGCGTAATGGGGCCAGAGTGCTCAAACGACCACAAGGGAAGTGAGCTTTGCATTATCGCTAATAGACACCCATTAACAACTCCGCAGAGTGCTCAACAACACCGAAGTGAAGGAGCGTAATATATATATATATATATATATATATATATATATATATATATATATATATATATATATATATATATATATATATATATATATATATATATTTATCAGTTATAGACCTGAAACGAGGGGTATTCCACAAAAAATTACCCTGAGGGATGAAATATTCCGAGGGCGAAGCCCGAGGAATATTTCATCCCGCAGGGTAATTTGTTGTGGAATACCCCGAGTGAAAGGTCTATAAATGGTATATTATACCGAACCTTTCAAAAATAAGTAGAAAACAAATTGGGCGATAAAATTAGGCGACGGACTAAGTTCAAAGTCGAATTTCCCGCTCAAGCGTGGTATTCGAAGTCGAATACCATGGCCCCGGGTAAAACACCCAGGGTTCAAATTGCCTAGGTCATAGTATTCGCTGAAAAATACCATGGTCATGTGGTACAAATTTAGTTCTCTGATTGGACAAGCTCATTGTGAGGTATAATATATATATATATATATTATGGGCAATTAAAAAAAAATGTGACTAATTATGAACTAAGATGTAATAATCTATATAAACATTATCGTTGTTACACTAAACGATTCAAGAATTCCTTCTTTCTACAAATAATTTTATCGTAGGCTAATAATTTTAAAACAATAATTATCTCTTCTTTTTATCTTACATAGGTACAATTAAATTTTTGACTTTTCTTGTAAATAGTGTTCTATTTACTCTTGAAAATAGTATTCTATTTTATAAGATTAATTCCATGTAAATTACTAACGCAATTTAACCTTCGGGTTAATAATGATAATAATGATAATAATGATAATAATGATAATAATGATAATAATGATAATAATGATAATAATGATAATAATGATAATAATGATAATAATGATAATAAAGATAATAATGATAATAATGATAATAATGATAATAATGATAATAATGATAATGACAATAATGACAATAACGACAATAATGATAATAATGATAATAATGATAATAATAATGAAAATAATGATAATAATGATAATAATGATAATAATGATAATAATGATAATAATGATAATAATGATAATAATGATAATGATGATAATAATGATAATAATGATAATAATGATAATAATGATAATAATGATAATAATGATAATAAT